GTAGCCCTCCATTCTCTGGCCCTGATCCTATGAAAACCTACAACATCATCTTGAGAGGCATCGACATGATCGAATTTCCAAAGAAAATTACCAAAAATGCTGCCAACCTAATTAAAAAGCTATGCAGGTGAGTGCTGGCGCTTCTGGCTATAGTTGAAGCTCAGAGTAATTCACTTAAGTGGTCTGTGCTGAATCATCATGTGTTTTTTTTTGTTTTTTTCCATTGCAGGGATAATCCTTCTGAACGACTGGGAAACTTGAAAAATGGTGTCAAAGACATTCAAAAGCACAAGTAAGCCTTTCTTTAAATTATTATAATCATCTTATTTAATAATTTCTCCCAGTATAACTGTGTAGTAAAACATGGAATTAAGAAGCAATGCTGTTTTTCCTTTAGATGGTTTGAGGGCTTTAACTGGGAGGGCTTGAAGAAGGGTACATTGACACCCCCTATCGTCCCTAATGTAAGTGCACACCGCAGATACTCCTCGTCATTTTCTTTCTAGTTGCTCTTTTGTAATTAATCTCACATTCAAAATATTTTTTTTTTGTTCTTGTTTGGTCGTTCTGTGAACAATTCTTCTGTCATTCCACCAGGTCACATCAGCTGTCGACACAAGTAACTTTGACAGCTTCCCAGAGGACAACGAGGACCCGCCTCCTGATGACAACTCCGGCTGGGACGTTGATTTTTGAAGTCCTCCTCTCGTCTTAAAGCCAAAAGAAACTCTTCTTTTGTTGGCTTGGAGGCTGTCTTGAGGACATGGTTGTGTTGTAGAAAAAAAAAAAGAAAACTGCTTTAAAAAGAAAGAGAGGATATGGAAAAGAAGACAAACGGATGGATGGGTCACCGATATGCCTTTATTTCACTGTGGCTCTGGAACAAGCATTTATAATGGGACTACTGTAGCACTTCTTCAGTGTTGTCTTACACTCGGCTCTAAAGGCAAAGAAAGTGCAGGGATACACACATATACACACAACATAGGCTGATAATGGAGCCAGGTTTTCCCTTTGAAACGGGGAAAGATGTTTAGCGGGTGGATGAATGTTCGATCGTTTGTTTAAGTTTTGGTTCTAGGATAAATAAGAGTGTGAAAAATGTGGACTGCTCAAAAAGAGAGGAGGCCGATGATTGATTTTTTTTTTTTTTTCTGTGTTTGTTTCTCCGCAATATTTGATGAAATGTGTGGAGGGTTTAAGATGTCACTGCAGTTGCTCCCTGGTTTCTGACGTGCAGCTGCTTGCTGCAATCTCCGATACTTTCCAGAGGTCTACACACCACAGTTTGCAAGTAAAACTGGTATCAAGTGCTCAAGACTAACCTGAATGTCTCTGATTATCTTCTAACTTAACATCCTCGTGGCATACAGCATGCACAGAACCTTATATTTGAATGTACATTCACACACAGGCCAACAGCGAAATTAAATACTTTCTATGAGATTAAACTTGAAAAGCACAAACACTGTGCATTCAGTGGAAAGAGACTCTTAAAAGTGCCCTGCTCAATATTTAATGAAACACACCAACACACATTAAATAGTAGCTGATATTTCCATGAAGCAATGTGTCATTATGCACTTAAGACCATTAACTGAAAAATAAATTAGCAGTTACAGCTAATTTTAAGCTTCATTGGATGAAGTTACACTCTTTTTGTTGTTATTTAATATGCTTTTAATCACTCATATGAATGCTTCTCTGCATACTTCTTAATTTTGTTTTTAAATCACCCAAATGCCTCGTCCTCAGTTCGCCCCTGTATAGTTCTGACATAACTGTGAACATGGTTTCAATGTATTTGGTGCTGTTGATAAATTATAGTAAGCGATGGTGAAATGACAGTACTGGCTTTTGTTTTGTGAAGTGTTTTTTTGTGCTCGATTCCTTTGTGGCGTACTTGACTTTGCTCTTTAGAAAATTGGAGACTTTGTGTCAATTTGTAAACTTGAGTGAAGATTTGTTTGAAATCACTTGACACCATGTTACATTGTGCTAAGTGGTATTCTCGAGGTTTTTAAACAGGTTGAGTTCATCCATATAAATTAAGAATCCTCATCTTGAGAGGCGAAAGACCAGATTCACAGAATCTTAAAACTATCTTGACTTAACTTCATTTTACGGATATTTAAAAAAATATCTCCTAAGAACAAAGAAGAAAGAATGATAGGCAGATGATATTGTTTTAAACTCACAACTTTGACCACTAGCTTCACGATCTCTCACCCAGCTCATCACCTCTCATGTCCAAAAATCAGAGCATTAAATCTAAAGAAATATAAGTGCCTTAAATCAATGGCATACAAAATTAACATCACGAGTCCTATTCGATGCTGCATGAACACATATACACCTCAAAAAACGTGTGTCCTCTTAGATGGCTGCTTCTCATCCGTTTGTTATATCTAATAAATACATTAATCACCATGGAAAGAGAATTTCATTTGATGGCTGACAAAACTGCATATGAAATACAATTCCTGCTTTCTGCTTTTGATTTCTCTCACAGGAACATTATTATATTAAATTATGGAGAAAAAGAATAGATCATATGATACGCCTGCAATGACATGCTTGTCTCTCCATTCTAAAATGGTCTCATGAAGTCAACCACAACTGGCCTGATATAAAGTGCACTGTAAATCAAGGCTCAGAGGGACCATCCATCCATCACCTGTTTCAGTCATGACATCTGAGCATGTAGAGAAAGCGAGAATGATTTGCAGTTTGGAACATTTCACGGATTGGAAAAGCATCATTCCTCTTTACCACTGTTGACAATCATTGATGGCATGATGGCATTAATCGTAATGTATCGTCATCCAAATTCTCATTCTATAAAAGCTTCAACTCGTATTTCATCCCAGGAAGCCAAACAGACCGACACACTTACATTTACGTGATATAAATCGTTGAATGATGTCGATGGAGAGCTAAGGAATCTTAGTTCTGTGGGTATACCATAAGTATTTTTGCTGTATTAAGGGCAGGTTATGTTTATCACAAAGCCTTATGTATGCCATCACTTTACAAACCACTGGTTTTGAGTCTTATATTGACCGCCTTCTGCAATGTTACCTGATATTTGCCTTGTGTTATGTTGTTTATTCTGCTGTAAATTCATTTTGCAGAGTGCCACCTGTAAGATTTTTGAAATTATAGAGTAAAAAACAATACTTTTGAGTGCTGTCTGTCTCTTAAGTTATTTTAAACAACTCGGATGAGTGACTGAAAGTGGGTGCTGGGGAGACGTTACAGTTTGCTCGTTGCCACGAGAGGGAGCTGCAGGTAAGACAGATCTCCCTCGAACCAGCTCCGCCTGATGTGAATCGGTTAAAGGTTGCCTGAGATCTAGTAATCGGTGCTTTGGTTAGTGTCATCCACTTACTGGTAAGTGCAGATGATTCAGCTTCTCTGGTCACGGTGTTATTCGCACAACAAATCTGTTTGGGGGGGACAGGGAAGTGGCTTCAGTCATAACAACAGAGTGACACCTCTGCGAGATCAAAGGGGATCAAAGTGCATCAAAGGAGCTCACCTTACCAGCACTGACATTTAGTAAAGTGGAGATAAAAGCTCCACTTCAAAAGAGATACAGCAATTCAAACGTGCAAAGTGCCACAGTGTGTTTGTCAGGTGTCTATGGCGCATCTCTCTCTCTCTCTCTCTCTCTCTCTCTCTCTCTCTCTCTCTCTCTCGCACACACACACACGCACACATCCTCACACTCAAACGTAAGCTACGTGACCAGCAGATGACGTCCAAGTGCCAAGAAATCTTCATAGATACACTAAAGGACTCGTTTCCCATCACGAACTTCAGCACCTTGATATCGGAAACTAAAAAAACAAAACAAAGTGGGTCCTAGAATGCAGTTTCACTTCCCAGGAGCAAATGTGACTTAATTCAGGAGAACATAAAAGGGTGGAATTATCTGACTTGGACTGTGGTTGGTGGACTGAAGTGAAACACATACTTTTAAGACTTATTTTGAATATTTCAGGGTGCGCATTTCTTCCAGCCGAGGAGCCCGAAGGGTCAGAGAGCGGGAGAGATCAGAGTTGCCTTTAATCTCAAAGTGCCAGTCAACCCTGAAAGGCCGCGCCACGGAAGCCCATTAATTCGGTAAACTTTTCACACCCCTTAATGGTCTGCATATCCCACACATTGATGTCCGCCACTGGTGTAATCAAGCACACTTTGGAGGATAATTGCCACCCTTTGCAATCAGAAGGATCAAATGAAGTAGACCCAGTTAATCGACGCGAGTAACTTCAATCGCTGTCTTCACACAGCCGAAGGGTAGCAGGCTACTTGAATGTCAAATAAAACTAGTATAACCAAACAGCTTGTTTAAAGAAGCGCAATGGAGCTCATGGAGAAAGAAACCATCCCTCATTTTGAGTTTCTGTCACGGCTATAAGATAAATTGCATATAAATTGTGCTGCAATATTTTGCAGCAGATGCATTTGTTGTTTTAAGTTAATTTAGTCAGAAAGTCATTCAAATAAACTATAATTAATAAATGGCGAACTGTTGGCTCCAATGTTTTTGGAAAAACAAATGAAAATTCGTCATCTGAATAAGTGATTTTTTTATCTCATGAATGTTTTATTTGGAAACAAAACCAAAATAAATTATAGGAGTTATATCAATGTGGTGAGACTATCGCATTTTTTTTTCCTGCTCTGTGTTGAAACACAAAACTGGTGGACCTTGACAACATTTTCCTTTTCTTTTTTTGTAGAAATTCCTGTCTGCACATACTTTTTTTTAACTTAGTGATGGTAATACAGACTTTGCAGGTCATTATCATTACACACGCACATTGTGAAGCAGTCCTGTACAGTGGGGCTCTCTTTGAAATTCCACCCCTCCGCCTTTGTTGTGCTCAGCGAGGGGCGGGCAGACAAACAGGTCCACATGTATAAAGAGATCATCCCAGGACTATGAGGCAGGAGGCTCCGATAGCATCGTTCCGAAAACTCTCTGGAAACGTTGTGATTCAGGATTCAAGGGCCCTTTGGACTTTGTCAGACAGCCACTTTTTTTTTACAGCAAAACAGACGGGATCTTTTTTTCCCGTGTTTTGGCAACACAGCAGTATTTAACATGAGAATCATGGTGTTACCGACAGCGCATCGCTTCTTGGCTGTGTGTCTCATGCTGTTTGGATATCTTGGGGACGTTTACGCGGGGACAGTCCTGGTGAACTCCAATGCCATCAAAAACTTGCCCGGTGCTTCGGGTGTCAAAGGCACCGAAACCGTCAGTCCGAGTCCGCGCACCTCACCCTCCGGCAGCATGGCACACAAATTACCCGGGGACACCTTGCAGGTAATTCGCTTTCCCGTGCGTAAAAGTCAGTTCTGCGCGCCGGGACAAAAGTTATCGCTTGTGTAACGTTTTATATTTACTATCCAATGACACGCTGCTTTTGTTTCTATCAAACTTTAGCAGTCAGGTGTTTGCACGGATGATGAAGACTGTGAAGGTGATGAATTCTGCAACGACGCCCGCGGTGCCTGTCTGCCCTGCCGTAAGAGCCGGAAGCGTTGCGCACGGGACTCCATGTGTTGCTCAGGAAACCGCTGCAGCAATGGTGAGCAGAGGCATCCCATCCGAAATTATTACTGACATTCATAATGTACTAATTTGTTGATGATAATTCTGATAGTTGGGAATAGTTTGCTTGTAGTCATACTGTCTGAATGTTTACTGACTGTGGTAAATAGGGAGCCTAACTGAATTTTTTTCTTTTGACCATTCTAGGTGTTTGCCAGGCAAATGACATCGACCCTACAGATGCATCCATCGTCACAGGCTGGCAGAAACACAACACCACTCTGGAGCATCACACCAAGAAACCCACTACTGCCCACAGCATTCAGCCTCATGCATCAAAAGGTGAGTGTCCTGTTAAGAATTATCAGTCTTTATTAAATAAAAAATGACAGCACAAGCAGTTTTTTAGTAAAGTCTGTTTCATGTAACATACTTTCATCTCCCTCTATCTTCAGGCCAGGAGGGGGATACTTGCCTGAGATCTGCTGACTGCTCTGAGAGTCTGTGCTGCGCCAGACACTTCTGGTCTCGCATCTGTAAGCCCGTGCTGACGGTGGGCCAGGTGTGTACGCGCCACCGCAGGAAAGGCACTCACGGCCTGGAGCTGTTCCAGCGCTGTGACTGTGGCGACGGTCTGGCCTGCCGACCAGAGAAAGGAGAGCGAGACCACAGTGTCAGCAGGACAGCAGCCCGGAACCTACACACCTGTCAGAGACGCTGACACCAAAGCGTGCACACACAGAGACATAAATACACACACACACACACACACACACATTCATCAAACCCGCAAATCAGTCACAGACACTGACAAACACTTTTTAGCCTTCCACACACCAGAGATGCTGACACACACACACACACACACACGCATAGACACCCAACACCTAAGACATTCTTTCCTGCCAAAGTTGCTGACACAAACAGCACCCGGAAGGATAGACATGATTCCTGGAAAAGTGATACACCCAGAGGGATGCAACAGTGCAAGACGGACTGATCCAATTCCCCATCAACAAATGAGGAGTCGGAAGTTAGGAAGTGACATTTCAGAAGTCTTGAGAAGATCGATACATGTCGTCGGTAATGGCAGAGCTGTTTTGTTTCTCTTTTTATGGAACTTCAAGCCTCAGTTATTGCAGTAAATTACTGTATTGTAAATATTATTCTGAAGGTGGCACTTAATTGAGCTATTAAATTCTGTCAACACTAGTATTATAAAGACATGATGCTGCATGCTTTGTAAATGTGTTCTGTATATTGTTTTTTATAAGAAAATGTTATAAATAGAAAATTTGAATATATTTGTTTTTATTAAACATCATGTGATAACCGTACTCCTTCTTTCTGCCCATCATTTATTGGCAGTAGTCTTCGGATCTACTGTGTTACAAAAACAAACAAAATAAATGTCTTTTGGGACATTATTTCAGTGAGGTTTCACTCAAAACGTCTTGAATATAAAGTCTTCTGCAGCAGGCTCCAAACCATTTAGTCGAAATATTCAGCTGGTACAAGTGGGAAATGTTTCTTGCAAAATAACCACCACCCCCCTTTCTGGAAAGCAAAAGTTATTTGAACAATCACTTGATGGTGTTTAACTCGTAGCCCAGAATTCTCAAATCAGTGGTTGAGGCTGAGTGGATGGTTTGAATGTTTGGCCCAGATATGCTTCTCAGACTCACTACACACAGCTGCTGGAATATGTGCAGACAAACACTCCGAAAACATACTTACAACAAACTTTGATGAGTCATTACTGGAGCCTCAGCTGGCCACATCCTGCTATAGAAACAGATGATGGTCCATCAGGGCTATGTCATCAGACGAAGATAAAAAAAAACAGGACAGGATGCTGTATTATCCAATGATAACTGCAAAGGGGTAATAACAAAGTATGTGTGTCCTGGCCAGTGTTTGCCACCTAACCCTTTGGTGTTGCTGGCTAGTTTCTAATTATACTATTACTTCCCTGCCTTCATGTGCAGAAGAGCAGATAGCTAGCTATCCAAACTAAAGCCTTTAATTACTTCATCTTACTCAATCTACACAAGGATTCATGAAATGAGCTGCACCACAGTTTTTGTGACGTAAAAAAAAAAAAAGGATCTTGGTTCTCATTCGATCCAATTGCTAAGCACACCCCATTTCCTGGCTGTTGTGCAGCGGCTGTGCTCTAATGTGTAGGCTATGAATCCACCCAAATACACCATGGTGTCTGTAATTAGACCTGTTTAGATTAGAAGATGGTGAGGAAATTACTGTACTTTCTTCTTGATTCTCATGTCAGATCAAAAGGAGCACAAGACGCTGTTGATATCTGACCGAGCCAAATAACCTCTTCATCTGTTTACTTCCATAGACATTCATTTGAAGTTTGTCAACGGAAGACACGGTGAGGTTGAATCTGAATCTGTCATTGAGGATCAGTGTTTAAAAGTAACTCATGTCATGTACTCAAGTGCTTTAATTAAGTATAATTCGGAGGTACTTGTACTTAACTTGTGTATTTCCTATTTAAGCTATACTTTATACTTCTTAAGTACATTAGAGAGGGACACCGTGTACTTTTTTCACCACAACACTTATCTGGCGGCTGCTACTACCGGTTACATAGCAGATCGATTTTTTAGAAAAGTTATAATGAGCCTATAAAATACAATGCATTGTATAACAGCACGTTAAACTACCCAACAGTAACAGCAATAATAGTTGAAATTTGCTGTTTACATGTAGATGCATGTGTAATAATAATACACCATTATAATATATGAAAATATAACACTGACAGGAGCCATTCTACCTGCATATCTACCTGAGAATGGTACTTATAATTTTGCTGAGAAATATTTAAAAACTATCACCGAAGTTACATATGGGAATTTTACTTGTAATAGAGTATTTTTCCACTGTGTTATTGAAACTCTTACTGAAATAGTGGATCTGAATACTTCTTCCACTGTTGAAGAGTGATGCATTGACAAAGAGGCCGGCAGACATACAGAGACACACTCCATTTAAACAATTTAGTGTCCATTCTTCAGAGTAATTAAGAGTAATGGGAGCATTGTCAGCAGTACAATATACCATGCAGGCTCGGCCAAGTCATGTTTGTGGGGGTCCTGGAATCTGCGTGTGTGTGTGTGTGCCTGTCATCATTACACCAACCACAGGCTAACACAGGCCACAGGCATGTGCCCTATCCAGCAAGGGCACTCACA